GAGGGTCGGTATTAATGCTTTTAAGCAGACCAGAGAGCTGAGTCTCGGTTAGGAATCCCATCTTGCTCCTTGCTTGCCAGGAAACCCATTTTCAATGAGCCCCATGGAAATTATTCAAATCTGCAGGCAAAGAATGGGGCCACCCCACTGTTTGGCTGCCCTGGCCGTGGGAGGCAGCTGACCCACGCTCTCTGGGCTGCCCTATACGTCCCTCCTCACTGTAGGGAAGAAGTGGGCAAGACATTGTGTAAGTGGACAGGAGGCAATGTCTTGCCATGACAATACTTGCCGCTGGGGGCTTTGGCAACTGCGGCAGCACTGATCCCAGTCTGGCCCACAGAGCCACTGGTTCCTCCAGGAGAGAGGGCCCAGTGTGGCCTCCAAGCCCCATCCCCAGCAGGAATCCCCACTCTCTCTGCCCCGGGGTCAGAGACGCTAGCAGAGAATCTCCGGCCTGCTCACTCCCTCCCCCAGCCAGGGGTCAGCAACCCACGGCTCCGGAGCCACAAGTGGCTCTTTCATCCCTCTGCTGTGGCTCCCCGTCGCTCGAAAGATGCTTCACAACCGCCAATGTGCGACACGCGATTTATTGAGCTTTTCGGCCCCCAGTAGGCCAACCATGGATAATTCCAAGAAAAGAAACGTTTCAGAAGAAAACAGAACATTTAATGGTACGTGGGCAGATTCATTTGCTTTCACTGCTGACGAGACTGGTTTACCAGTCTGGGTTTTTTTAGGTAAAAAACAATACATGCAGCGTTATCTTCAGTGTAGATGTCAAAAGGGTTTTGTGGCTCCCGGTGTTTTCTTTCCTCTGGGAAATGGGTCCAAATGGCTCTTTGAGTGTTTAAGGTTGCCGACCCCTGGCCTAGCCCCACCCTGGGGCAGTAGATGGGGGAACTCATCACCGCCATCCCAGCCCTGCAAAACATCAGGCCAGCCGCCAGCGTATAATTTAAAATACATTTATTGCTTTATTTGCTCTCATTTGTTATACAAAGATGTCAAATAACTTAAATACATTCTCCACAGTCACTCAAGAATCAAATTTATTCCTACAACGCTGTACATATGAGGTAGAGAGAAAACAATAATTTAGGTTCCATAAGACGCTCACCACCACCCACAGCCCGCCCACCCCAGAGAGAGAGAGAGAGAGAGAGAGAGAGAGAGAGAGGGAGGGAGGGAGGGAGGGAGGGAGGGGGAGGAATATTGTAAATCCTTCATATGTTTGCATTTGCTCCTCACAACCCTTCCAGCAGAAACCCTCTGGGTGAATGCCAACAAGCCTTCCTGCCCACCAGCGCGTTTCCAGGACAGGACCGAGAAGGTGCTGGAACCAACCCCTCCTCTGAATAAGACCTGTGCAGGACTGAAAAAAGCATTCCAGACGTTTCGTTAGGTTTGGGTCCTTGAGACACCCCCCAAATCCTGGCCTTCTGGATCTATTCTTGAGGTTTTCCAGGGGGCTGCATGTCAGGAAGAAAGATCTTCCCGTCTGCTCCTGCTGCAACCTTCTATTCCCACAAAAATCTCCCCCAGAATGGCAACTAAGTCTGAGGACGTGGGGAACTTGGGCTTGGGATGATCTGGAATAGGGGGTGATTTAACTGGACCAACTTATTTGAGATTTGTCTGGATCCGAAATGAGTTGGCTGGATTTGCCTTCTGTGAAATTTAAATTCTACTGATTATTTCTGCTTTTGATTATATAGATATAAGTCAACATATGCAAAATTCATGTAGATCTGCAGACTTTTAAACACCTAAAGATCGCTTGTACTAATTCAAGTGAGGGCTCCACATGAAACTTCAAGGGCTCACCACAAAGAACAGAGCAGAAAGCTGTGCTTTCTCCAGAAACTGACAATTATCAAGGAGGCTGGAACCATTTAAATGACCAAGGGTGCAGCTTGAACCATGTCCCTACAGAGTCCCCCATGCTCCCAGCTGCATCCTTCAGGACTGCTTTCCCCAGCCTACCTCTGGACACTCTGGCCTGCAGCCCTAGCCATTGCTGACGGAGCTCCCATCAGGCCTGGCCAACAAGGTGAACCATTAGGATGTGGTGGTTTGGACATCCCATTGAGGCCTCTTCAGCTCCACGTCACATCACAACACAGGAGTGGGAAAGATTTCGAACAGCCTCCTCTCCCTGCTCTCCACTTAGTGAACATGGACAATTCCTTTTGAGGGCTCCGTACAATACACAGATTGGGAACTAGGAGGGAAATTCCTCCTTCTGCTCAGGAAGCCGGTCATACGCTTCTCAAACATGGGCTCTGCTCGTAACTCCTCACCGGCACCTTGTCCTTGTAGGCACCTCACCAAGAACCTTGGTGCCCACCCTAACCAGGCCCCTGCTCCACTTTCAAAAATTAGCATAGGATGAACAATGCTTGGCAGTAGGAGAAGACAAGGACATGCCTCCTCAGCCATGGGGTGGAAGTCTGAGATTTGTTTTGCACCCTACAGAATCCTGCAAGTTAGCCAGCCACTCAGAAAGCATTTTATGCTTTTGTCTTCTAAGGAAAAAAACAGACCGGTGCAACAGACATGTTGTGGGTTCTAATGCAAAGTCAGCAAAGCTACCGCAAAGTTGTCTCATTGACAATATAACAGAAAACCTCCCCTTGCCCCAACCTGATGTCACTATTGCGCTTTAATGTTGGTAAGTGATGGCTGCTCCCCCAATAGGGAGAATGCGGGCAAGGCAAGGAGCATCCATGACAGGCAGAGATGGGGACTCCCAAATGCAGGCTCCCCACCTGAAGGGCCTCTCTTGATCACAGCCGCTGATCGAAGACCCCCTGGCTCCTCGTCCGACCACTCCGCATGCCACAAGGCTTCAGCAATGAACGCATCCATCCATCCAGGCTTAGGCAAGCCAGTGCCCTACTTTATAGAATGCACCTCCCATCGTCTCCAGCCAGAATGCCAGCTAGTCAGGGCCAGGGCCAAGGCAGCCAGAGGGCCCCGCATCACCTATCCCTGCCCAAGGAGGAAGAGCCGAATAGCCATTAAGGACGGGCATGTCTTCTTCTACCAATGACGGGCAGTATGGGTTTACCGGCTTCCCACGTTGCCTGGAAACATCTCAAAAGACCACCACGGCTGAGCAAAACACAGCAAGGCCCATGGACAGCACCTCGCCAGGACCCAGCTTTAAAAACTGGATTCCGCCTCAATAGCCCTGTAATGCTGGTGCTAAGAGGTGCGGAGGGCGGCCGGAACATGGGATCCCAGGGGTACAATCCCGGTCATGTCCACTCCGCCCCATTTTCAGAGTCAGAAGTGGCCCAAGTGGCAGAGTATAGCAGTGCAACCCTGCAACAAGGACACCGTCCCCTTGCTTTTAAACCTGCCGGCCTCAGTGTACCCCTTATTGCACTTTTAAACTGCCCAATAACCCAAGTATTCTGGGAAGCAGACAGTCCAACCTTTGGGGGACCCATTCCACATCAGCCAGGAAACCCTACTTTACCATGTTTCCGGGTCACGGTTGAGCACAAGTCATGAAGGTGGACAAGAGAGCGGGTCCTCATCCACGAAGACAGAGGTGTACGTAGTAACCAAGAATCACCCAATCAGCACCCGAGGGGAAGATCAGCAGAGACTGATAAGCAACCCTTCGAGGAAGCCCATCCACTAGGTATTGATCTCCTTGGCGAGATGCCTCTCTTTCTCCAATAACCTCCTAGGGAAATACGGAGTGCCCAAAATGCCGTTGGTTGAAATCCACTGCTGTAAAGCAAATGGGCACTTGCTTTTCTCTCTCCCAAGACTGCTCCTGACCTACTATGGCCAAGCATGGTTCTACTTCCTCTTCATGGGGTCAGAGGCAGCCGATGCGAACTGCTTTCCGTTCCAGACTCAGGCCAGAGATTAACAGTCCAAGGTCCAGGTTCTGGGAAACAGCCGGCCTCTGGTTGTCCCTAGACGGTGGTGCAGTGGTTAACTCTCTTCAGAGCACCACTTCTAAGGAAGCATCTCAGGAGCAGAGTTGGGTCTCTTGGCACACCAGGGCCCTGTCTCCCTTAAGGCACAATCCATATGTTAGAATCGAGGAGGAGGAGGCCGTTGTCAATTATGGTCAGCCTGAACCACCCATAGCATGGGGTGCTTATAGATTTAAGCATGCCATGGAACAAAACTGGCCAGGTCTACAGAGCAAGAGCAGTGAAACTCTTTTAGCCCAAGGACCAGCTTCCATTTTGAAGACGGTCTTGCGGACTGCCTTCTAACGGTGCGATGCAAGGCAAAAATGAAGAGAGGCCAAGACAAAACGGGTGAGGCCAGAATCCCCCTTCCCACACACCGTGATGAGAGATGCTCACCTCCTCGTCTCAGCAGGCCATTCGGGATGCTCCTGCAAAGGAGGTCACAGCTGTCTTCCATGGGCTCCAGCTACCATGTCCTGATGGGTCACCTGAAACCCAAGCACTGCTTTTCCACGCATGCAACGCACCAATGCCGGTGCCTTCCTCACATGGGCAGATGCCAGACTAGCTGGATGCGACTGCAGCCTTTGCTCATGAAGGGCTTGGCTGCAGCCCTTCCAACCAGGGCCGGATGGTGACCTGGTCTGAGAGAGGAGGAGGAAATCCACTGCTAGCCAGGAAAGTCTCACAGGCACCAGCCAGCCCTTGGGTTCCGCCACTCTTTACATCCTGGCCCAGGCCTTCCGATCAACCATTTCCAGGGAGAGAAAGAACTGAAGCAAGCATCAAGCCCTGCCTCCACCCCAAGAAACTCTTATTATAACCTCAGGTCAGCCTTCTGAAGCTGGTGCCTGCCAGATGCTATAGACTATAACTCCCATCAGCCCCACACAGCATAGCCAATGGACAGGAATGCTGGGAACTGTAGGACAAAACATCTGGAAGGGACCCGGAGGAAGAAGGCTGCACCAGCTGACAAAGACACCTCAATTTCAAAAGGGGGTTAACTTAAGAATATATGCATTACATCTGCCTATACATTTAACACATGTGCCTTGGTACTATTCATATATATTTATATATTTATATATTCATATAAATTTTTAAACCACAGGAGAATAAACCTTACTATTTACAATATATAACAAGAAAGCAATAATAATATTTGCATTAACATAAATACATTTTTAAATACTTACAGAAACACCTCGGCTTCAGTGTGTGAATTATTTTACAAAGAGCTTTTTCCCACTCAGTAGTTTGTTCACCCCTTCGCCTCGTCACCCCCGAGACCACCCTCCTGTGCAGGCGCACCCAGGAGACGGTCCTCTGGAATTCAGCGGGACCAGTTTCGGAGCGAGGAGGCACGCGAGTCGGCCGCAAGGGGTCTGCTCCTTTGCGGCCCCCACGCCCCATTGCACGGGAGGTATAAATAAAAGCGCGTGCGCATGAGGACTGCACACACCATGGACCCATCTTCCCAGAAGTGCCAAAGGTACTATAACAGATTTGGATTTTTAAAAGCCTGCAAGTTCTGCAGACTTTGGAGGACTTCAACTTGAGTTTCTGGTAGGAAGCCCACCCAGGATTACTGGGGGACAGGAGGAGGAAGACCCCACCACAAGATTAGGGGCAGCTGAGTGACATCGTTGGTGCTGGAAGCAGAAACCCAAAACCAAGTCAGTACCCTCTGGGAAGTGGGACAGAGAACCCCCTCCACCCAAATCTTTGAGGGCATCATCCCCATGCAGGCGGCCTGTTCCTCTGCCGTTCTCCCAGCCTCTGGTTATCAACCCTTCCTTGCTTTGTACAAACGAAGGGCAGCAAAAAGGTATTTCCAAGCAGCAAGTGCGGACTGGTGTCTTCTCCCCGCAAAACCCAAGAACGAGATGCGGGGTGACAAAATTAGAAACACCTGTTGCCCAAAGGTGTGCGTTAACTCGAGCTGGCCCGGCACATGACAAGAGGTGAGGTTCTACACGAAGTGGAGACGGATATTATGGGACCTTCCGGGACCCACGCTTCGGTCAAGACAGGACTAAGCCAAATGGGGCTGATCCTTCCTCACACAGCAAACACACCCACCCCAACAGAATGAGGCATGCCTCTTGCTCCATCTTCACGCCCAAAATTGTTGGAAAACTTGAAGAAACCCCTCGGGGACAAAAGACACATGTGCGTGCAAAAACAGGGACAAGAGTGTGCATGTCAAGAGAGGACTAAACATAATACCACATCAAAACCATAAGAAGGTCCTTCTGAAAGGCTTAATAAATAGATGATCAATATTTATATTTAGGCATATATATAGATAGATATATCTCCACACTGAATAATAGGTTTCTATTCCATCTCTGGTTTGGCTTTGCCTTTCAGTTATTTGCACGTAGCTGCAGGACTGACCAGCCTGGAAGGCAAGGAGAACCCGCAGCGAAGAGTTTCTGCTGAGCCCGCAGGGCAGAGCAGGGTGGAAATGAGCGGCCCCAGACTTCATCACCGGTTGCCTCAAAGAGATGTACAACAGCAGGACCCTGGCCCAGCACAACGAAGGCGGTCCTTCTTGTTCCACCCTCCAACAGTCAGCCGACACACCCGGCTCTCATCTGGTCGGTCGCTCCCGAGGACCTTCTTGGGACCCTCCTCCCAGCAGCTTAGGAGGAGTGGCTGAGCTGGCCTTGCAAGGTGCTCAGGTCAAGCAAGCTCAGAAGGCTGGACAGTCCCGGGCAGACAAATGGGACCCGCGCGGAAGGTTCCTTCCTGCGGCTCCCCTCGCAAACCAGGTCAACAGGTTAAACTCGAGACGTTGCTACTACATGCAAATCAGAAGGGCCCACCCCGGCCTCCATCCCCGACGACACGGGCCCTTTGCCAGCAGCTTCCGATCCAAGTAGTATTGTTGAAGCAGAGTTGCTATGCCAAGTCACACATTTGTAACATCCCAGTTCAAAATAACAGAACGATGTCCAGTAGCCACGCCGCGAGTGCTTTTGGTCACTGCTGTCGTTTTCTCTTCCAGTTCTCTCCCTCCCTCTGGAACTTTTGCAAACCGTTCACTTGGAATTCGATCGTTTCATGGGTGTTGAAGTTCCAATGCCAGGCCCACAGTGGTTTTGTTTTGCTTTCTTGCTTGCTTTCTTTCTTTTAAATAGACGTTAAACGATCTGTGCAGAGATGTGTGCCAGTCCATACCACTGCCACGAGTCAGTGGAATGACATTCCAATAGATGTCGAATCTTGGGAGGTACGATCCAGTGCACAGAGGCTTGCAGTTCAAGAATGGTCAACGCCAAGGGAACCATCCATAAGGCAACAGGTTTTCTCCATTTCCAGAAGACAATTGTCGATAAGGCAACCACAGCCAGAAGCTGCTCCGAAAGCAACCTCCAGGGGGGACTTTGGCGCTTCCAAGCAGGAGAAACCATCGGTGGTGGTGCTTACGGGAAGTTTGAAGAAGGCCTCTAGTGGTTTTCATCATTAAAAGTCAAGGCAGCAAGTGAAAAGGGAAAAGCAGATGGAGCAATAGGAAAATTTGGCAGGCTGAACTTCACACACAGTCTGTTATGAAGTGCAGGTGGCTGAAGGAAATCTTGCACGCCGGGTTGACCTATCAGCATCACGGGACGTGACTTCTCCATTCCAATTATCCTGACGCAGAGGAGTCGAACTAGGAATCCACCATCCCCAAGCCTTTCCTTGACCATCCCTTGGCATGAAGCTATTCCAGGACAGCGCAAGTTCCTCACTGCAGCTCCCAGTGCGGTCGGGATGCCCACGGAGCTCAGCGGGAGCACGTCAACGACACACCAAGAGGTCCGATTCGCAAGGAGACCTCCGATTCAAGCTCAGACTTCGTGGTCACGAGAGAAGGGCGAGCCGCTCCATTCGATCAAGGCGGAATGGCCTATGGTTGCTTTGGCAGGGACCCCGGCACCCCTAAATCAGCCCCCACTTTGCACAGCAGGTGCTTCCGATTCCTGCGCCGGAGCCCCAGAGGCGTCTGAAGAGCAGGGAACAGTCGAGAAAGAGAAGGAATACAGCTGGGCCGCCAGGACCCCGCAAAGTGCTCGATTCGTCTCAGCATAGTTTCAGTCAGTCCCCACGACCCCCGTGCGGCCCCCTCGGGGGCTCGCTGGAGGGCGGCCCCCCCACCGGTCGGGGCGATCCACTGCGAACGCCAGGATGCGCGCCTTCCTCAGTCCTTGCACGTATAGACCTCCTCCCGCTGGGTGCACTGCTTGCACTCCACGTAACAGCACCACCGGACCTGGCACTGGCAGGGGCGGGTCACCACGCGGCTCTGCGTGTTGTGCCCCCGGCCGCAGCAGATGCTCTCGCAGTTCTTGTCTTTGTAGCACTTCCGGCCCGACGTGCCGGGCGAGTACCGACTGATCAGGCAGAAGCTCGGGGAGTCGTCGATGTACACCAGGTCCGTAGTCCGTGGGATCTGGTCCCCGTGGCCCGGGGCGGATTTCTTCGGCGGGGAGATGTCCCCCTCGCCGGTGGCCTCGTTGGTGGTGCTGCCCACCTTGAGCGCCGTCTCGTATTTCTGCTTCAGCTGCTTGCCGATCTCGTGGAACGGGGAGAGCTGGCGCCAGCAGGTCCGGACCGTGCAGGAGCCTGACACGCCGTGGCATTTGCACGTGGTTTCCACGCCGGCCTTGATGACCTGCGGAGAAGGAGCCGAGGCGAGTTAGAGAAGGCGAGCCGGAGCCGCCACGAGCCTCGGCCACGGGGGGGTCTCCTGCTCGGCAGGCACGTCCAGGCAACGTCCCGCAGTGGCACGTGGGTGCTGCTGCTCCACACAGCTCTTCCTCCCTGCCTCTCAACAGATCTATTCCGGCAGTCAAGTCTATGGTTCTGGAATTCCCTTCCCAGGCAAAACCGTTTTGTCCGAGCACGTATTTGGGAATGGCCGGGCGGTGAGAGTGCATTAGAGCACTTCCATTCTTTTATAGTGTTTGCAGTTTTTAATGTGGGTATTTTTATAATTTTACGAGTTCACTAATTTAACTATTGTATATTTCTATGAATGCTTGAACTGTATAAGCTTTTAATCTTGTAAGCCACCTTGAGTCCTAATGGATGGGATATAAATATTGTTCATAATATAATACTGAATTATATATTAGCATAATATAGGGATATATTAGAATATATAATATAGCTATGTATTATTTACAATATATAATAGCAATATAGTATGGTTATATATTAGAATATATATTATTTATTATTTATAATATATATTATATAATAAACTGACATAAAGGAGCTTCACAAATCTTCCCCTCTTCCAGGAATTAGCATCTCTGGCTGTTTGGAAGCCCCCCCCCCCCCAATGCACTAAAGCGTGATTCCACAAGAGGCAGCGCACCTGTGGAACAGGTGGATTTAGCTGCATGCAAACAGAACTGCCAAGCAGGTCATGATGGGCAATGTAGGATTCTGCCCCGTGAACCAGGAAGGAGTGAGGCTGGGGCATGTGCCCCTCCTCGTGAGTAGAGTACATGGAAGCAGAACAGTTTGATCTGGCAAGAGGAAGAGAACTGAGCTGAGAGGACCTGGTGGGCTCCAAGACTGGGAAGTAGGAAGGACCCTTCTTACCGTACATCTGAGAATACCGAACGGTGGCCTGGGCCCACGCGCTGGCATCTCTGCTATTCATTATTGGCAAATGATAGTTTTGAAAATGGAAGGAAGAAAAATAAGCTGTGAATGAGGAGAAGAGCAGGAGCAAGAGAGCCTTTCTCTAGAAGGGGCAACACAAACCTTTCCCTCTGCGGTTGCCAACTTTCCACACAACCCCTGTAGCTGGGCTGGCAGAAGTGCTGACTGCAGGAGTTTCAGGTCTTTGGAGCAAGACACCCCAAAGAGCTGCTTCCCCACTCAGGGGCAGAGCTTTGCAGAAGCCGTGGGTTTCATCCTCCGCATCTCTCACCCTCCTTAAAACCTGGAGAGCTGGGGCTGCCGGTTGGTTTGTGGGTGGGAATCTGCTGGAATTTTGCAGCTCAGCTCCCCGGACTCGGGCCAGCTTCCTCCCTTCCCCACGCAAAGCGTTTGCAAGGCATCCAGGAGGAAGCGAGTCCAGAGCTGCACTTCCACACACAGCTTTAGAGCACCTTGTGCAAGGAAGATTCTTTGCCTATCTCGTGTGAAGAATTGCATACTTTGCCCAAAGAATCCGCTGGTATCCCTGCGGGTCTGCGGACTCGATCACAGCTCAGCTCGCTTCTGGCCGGGGCAGAGCATGGGAAACGAGTCCGGCATGCAAAAGGGAAAGGAGTCCAGCAAAGAAGCCAGAATCCAACCGGATCTTCACCTCCCTCGGGTTGAAAAGGCTGGGCTGGATGGACCGAGTCGGAATCAGGATAACGCAGCTCTGGGTCCCTGTGCCAATCACAGCATCAAGCCTTTGGGTGGACAGACTGTCCATGTTGACAGTGACAGACAGGTCACCCTCGCTCAAGCCAAGTTCCTGTGCACCAGAAGCCCCCCTTGCCCCCCCCCAAACTAGGAAGTGCAATACGAACATGGATATGATGCTGCCCTGGATAACAGCATCGCCTTTCATAGCCCTCCACAGAGTTGTAAGACATGCTTGACCAAACGTACCTCAAGGGAAGAAAGGAAGGGGGGGGGGAAGAGATGGGGGGGGTCAGCCATCCTGGGGATTAAGGATCTTAGCAACGCTCCAGAGAGATGTGGTTAGAAAGTCATGTTTAATGATACTTTGAGAAACACAGACAAGGGCAGGGCTGGAGGGGGGGATTTAATTAAAGCGTCACTTAACTCAGCTCTGGTGGAACACATCGAGTGTTCTTAATGCTCTTGACTTTTCATTAAGGGGATACAAAGGGAGAGGAGGAGGGAGAGAGATCAGAGGGAGGAGCAGCGTCCCGAGACGGCAAGAGTGGAAGCCAGGCTGATTGAGCTGGGTTTAATATACACGAGGATCACCCCTTGTGGCCAGTCCCGGGGGGAAGGGGGCACCTGCTGCTTCTCACTCCCTCGCCCTGCAACCTGCCCCCCCCCAAAAAACCCCGCTCCCCATCACAGAACGCTTGAATGAGCTCGGATGGATTTGGCAGGATGGGGTTTTAAAACATTAATAAGCTGCATAGTTTGAAGCTTTCGCTCATTAATAAAAGGGGAAGGCATTTGAAGAAGTCCTTCTGGCTAATTACCTCATCGGCCTCGCCAGACAAGTGCGCCTTGTCACTAGCATTGAGGTCATGCCGTAAGCACTTCGCGAGGCATGAAATGGGCGCAACAGGGTCGGGCCGGTTCTTATTTCACTATTTGCGGCAAACATGCGCAGCTGAGCCGGAGAGGGTGTGAAGAGAAAAAAGATTCCGTCGGGGCTTTTTGCAGAAAACGCTTTCACCCGACATTATGGGGGGGACTGCGGACTTGGCAGAGAGAGCGCTGTGTTACTGAGGAATTGTTTTCCAGCAAGAGGCCAGCAGAGAGAAAACGCTCTCCTTGTGCAGAAGCGGTGAAAACTGCTGCCCGGTTTTGGCTCACGGGACTGGGGATATAAGCCCGTCTACCAACCCCGGGTCCTCGGGAGACTCGTTACAATCATGGCCATTTGCATGTGTAATGGAAAAACAACATTCCATGTGGCTGAGAGACCACCAGGCCAGGGTTGCGGGGAAGGCATCTTCAGGCATTCCTGTTTGCGAGTCCCGCACTGCCGTGCCACAACCTTAACAAGGGTTTCAAACTAGATGGACACACAGTGGCCTTTGCCACACAGGTGCCCTCAGGACTTCAGCTCCCATCAGCCCCAGCCAGCAGGAGCAAAGGTCAAGGAGCCCAAGAGCCGTCGTTCCAAACATCTGGTGGACACCTGTGGCACGGCAGTCAGCGGGCTAGGAAAACACGATTATGGCCCCGAAAATGGGAAACGGAGAGTTGAGGAAAGGCCGTGTTAGCAAAGCATGCGGAAAAATTACAAGCTTCCTAAACAGCTTCTTCCGTCCCTGCATAGAATTTAATACCCAGCCTCACACGGAGAGCAAAGCAGTGTGCTGCAGTGTCCAGCTGGAACCGAGCGTCCAGGTGGAACGGCGGGCAGGAAAGGCAGTCCATGGCCCCGGCCCTGAAAGGCAGGCTTCTCTCGCCGAGGCCGGGAGCCACGGGCCCTCCCCGACAGGTGCCCACGGAGCCTGCGCTGCAGCTTTCCGGAGACCAAGCCGCCCACGGCCCAAAGCCATCCTGCCCGCGACACTCCCGTGCGCCTGAGGAGCAGATTGCTCCGACCCAAATCTTATTAGCATCAGTTTACCTCGATCACCTCCCCTCCACCCACCCCGTTCCCCCAGTGTGGGCTCCCTTTGTCTGCACCGAAACACGATCCCAGCGGCTTCACCCAGCTTTTTAGCCGTCTGCGTTCGGGGATTTTTAGTGCCAGTTGCAAAAAAAATGGGCCGGGGGGGGGGGGAGTCCACGCTGCCGCAGAGACGTTCCAATACAGCTGCAGCCTCGCTCAACATGGGGCGATGTCCATCATCCCAGCCTGGCTCTCGGTTGGGGATGATGGGAGTTGTAGTCCGGTGTGCCCAAGGGGCACCATGTCGGGAGGGGCTGTGCTGCAGGATTCCCCGACTCGTTAGCAGTGGGGAAGGAGGGGAAATGTGGAAATGTTCGCTGGGGTTTTACTCGAACCTTAACCCTGGGCTGCGTCAGGGTCGTGTGGAGTCTGCAAAAGTCCCCCTGGAGATGCACAGAGCGTTTCCCCAGAAGTGGGGTAGGGAAATCTGTCTTTTGCAGCTAAACCTGACCCATTCGCCAAAGCCCTTGCCAGGAGATGAGGAGGCGGGGGAAAGGGCCACGCTTTGTATGCTCCTCGGGGCATCCCTTGGCCCGATGTGAGCTCCCAAGAGCGCCTCTTCCCAGTCCGAAGGAATGCCGCTCAGCATTCCCGCAGCAGGACGAGATTCCCGGAAAAGCCCAGTTCACCTGTGCGCCTCCCAGGTGGGCAGCTGCCAAATTCCTTCCGCATGGAGCTCTCCCCCAACCTGGTGCCTCCCGGGATGCTCCAGGCTCCAACTCCACTCAGCCCCAGCCTGCATGCCCAATGGCCTGAGAGGATGGGAGGTGTAGTCCAAAATGCCTGCAGGGACGACGATAACTGGAGGACAACTTCCAGGAGGAGTAGGGGCCAACTGCTAGACAGCACTGCTCGGAAAGGCACTCAGGTGTGTTGTGGGAAGGAGAAGGGCAAGCACGCGGACTGGGACTACAAGCGCCCCCTGGCGGGGTGCCTGAACTGGGGAAGAGACCAGCCAGACCCACCGCCACTGGGGCTGGGACAAACCCTATTGGAATCCACCCGGTTTCCTCCTACACTCAGCCTAGTCTCCCTAATCAAGCCATGGCAGGGGAAGGACCACAAATGCTTACAGAGTCCTGGCACACAACCAGCAACCTCCTTCCACAACTGCCGCTCTTAAAGATGGTCTGGCTACTTCCGTTGGTCCAGAATGGAGCTGCCAGGACGTTAACGGGCACCGGCAGATATTCACATATAACGCCGGTCCTCTATCACTTACACTGGCTGCCAGTTGAACTCCGGGACCAATTTAAGGTGCTGGTGATGACCTACAAGGCCCTAAACGGCTTGGGTCTGGGATACCCGAAGGAGCGCCTTCTCCCCTATGTGCCCTCCTGCCCCTGGAGATCGGAGTCAGAGGCCCTCCTCCGGGAGCCGTCCTTGAAGGAGATCAGGAGGGGGGGGGCTACCCAGAGGAGGGCCTTCTCTGTGGTGGCACCGCGATTGTGGAACACGCTCCCAGAGAGGTCCGCCTGGCGCCAACGCTTCTTTCCTTTTGGTGCCAGGAGAAAACCATTTTTTTCTCCCAATATTTAAATCGCTAATTTGTTTTAATTTGTGGTTTTATACCTCACATCAGAAGCCGTGCTATTCTTACCCTTCTTTCTATTTCTATACTATTTTATTAATCTTGTTATGAACCGTCCCGAGACGTCAGTGATGGAACGGTATGTAAACGTCTTAAATAAGTAAATAAAATGAAGTGCTGCAGCAGCAGCTGGGAAGAGGGATCCTGCCCGCGGAGTGGTCACGGGTGGGCTGCCTTCGGGGCCACCCGTCACAAGCAGGCCTTGTCTTCGGTGCTCCCACACCGAAGGAGAGGGGCTCAGTTAGAAACACAGAAACAGAGTGAGTCAGAAGGGGCCTCCCGGGCCATCTAGTCTGACCCCTGGCTCCAGCCGGCTCCGCTCACGACATGCCCACCATGTGCATGTCCAGCCTATCCTTGAACACCCGCACCGATGGGGTCTCAGCGACCTCCCGGGGAAGCCCATTCCCCACCCTGGGGGTCCTGACTGTCAGGAAGTGCTTCCTGGCATCCAAACTGAACCTTGGTTCCCTGAGCTTGGCTCCGTTGGAGCGCGTCCTGCCTTCCTCTGCAGGGAAGAACAGGTTTCCACCCTTCTCCACGTGACATCCCCTCACATACAAGGACTGGGCGCACTCGCCAGGAAGTCGGAGGCTTTCGCCCGCTTTGCACACCCGGGGGATCTGATGGACTCCACCCGGAATTCCTCACGCATCCCTAACTGCCGCCGCGCCCCGCTCCGGCGCTCAGTGCCCGGCCCAGCATTCCCTGGCAGCGCCCGCCCCCCAGGGCCGCACACGCCCGTACCTTCATGCCCACCAGGTTGTTGTGGAAGTCCACCCGGGCCCTCAGGTCCTTGTTGGACTTCTTCCCCAGGAACTCCTTGACAAACTTGTTGCTGTACTTCAGGTTGTCTCCGCAGCCGCCCCACTGCCAGGCCTCCCGGTTCTCCAGGTCGGGGGCTTCGTCGCACGTGCAGCGCTCCATGCGCCCGGCGCTGCAGGCCTTCGCCATGGCGTGGGTGAGCCCTGCCGAAGAGATGGCGTAGAGGAACGCCGTTTCCTTAAAACCTGTGCGGGAGGAGAAGGGAGGACAGCCGTGACCAGCTGGGCCTGCAACACGGCGGGGAGCCCAGCTGAGAAGAAGACACCTGCGCCAAATCTTCAGGCGCACCAGCGCATCACACGTGGAGAACTCGGCTTCTTCAGGGTCCAATGCTGTGCGAGTTTAGTCAGAAGGAAGGCCTGATCCTGGCTGGGAATCACAGGCCTCTCTCCTAACTAAAGTCACATCATTTGCGCCTGAGAAGTCTGAGCCGTGCTTTAAAATTCGCTCTGCAGTCCCTGCAGGTGGGAGGAAAAACGAAATGCAGGTGAAGGGCTTGAGCTGGCTGCTTGCAGCATCCATGCAAGACACGGGCTCCAGTCTCAACAGCAACCCCGGCCGGAAATCAGTCCCTCTTCACCTTGCTCAAAACCACGAGACACGTGATCACTCCCACCTGCTCTTTGATGCACAACAGACCTGAGTCTGGAATTCCTCAGGGCAGGTTTAAGCACAAAAGCTCCCCACCCCACCCCACCCACCTTCGCTCATCCTCAAAACTGAACGGCCAGCAAGGCATTGCAACGGGGGTTTTCTCACAACCGTCTCAGCTCCAGGTTGCAAAGGAAGCGGTAGTCTTCCGAAGCTTCAGGGTCCAGTCTGTGCTTCTTAAAATCGCCAACCTATCCTCTGCCCCCGTTTCACCTGCATTTGAATGCTGCCCTCTACAAGATCTCCCTCCAATTTCAGCTTCGAATCAGTTCTCATTTCCCCAGCCTTCCCATTTTTTCTGGCCATCACTTCAGCAAATTTGTACAAGTATACAGATTTTATTGTTTAAAAAACCTCGTAGAAATTCATACACATGTTCACAGTCAGGTCCTCTGGTACATGCAAATTTGTACACCCCAATGTACATTTGGCTTGCTAATACGTGCATTTTAGAAGCTATTTTCCTAATAATAATCATTTGTGTTCCTCATTTGATGTCTATATTTTCCTACCTTTGTGTTTTGGTGCATACTTTATTTATTTATGGATTTATATCCTGCCTTTTTCCTACAAAGGGCTCAAGGCAGCATACATCATCTCTCCTCCATCTTATCCCCACAACAACAACCCTGTGAGGTAGGTTGGGCTGAGAGTCTGTGACTGGCCCAAAGTCACCCAGTTGGCCCCATGGCTGAGCGGGGACTCGAACCCAGGTCATCTGAGTCCCAGTCCCATGCTCTTAACCACTACACCACACTACTTTCCCCTTAGGTGTGTAAATTTTATATGCACACTTTCTGGTGCATTTATATACACGTTTTTTTTCCAAAGAAGAACTGCAGCATTTGGGAAAGTGAGGATTTCAGAACACAAGCTGGTTCCACGTGCTCCTGGGCTGAGCAAATGCAAACCCGGTGAAGTTCCCCCGCAAATTCGGCCAGAACGAGGTTTTGGGACACAGCACCCTGACTCCGCTCACCTCTCTTCAGCAGACTGGCTCTGTAGCGCCCCTCAATGGTGCAGTTCCACCTCTCAAAGCGGAACTGGTACTGGCACTCCAGGGCGCTCATGCTGATGGCCTCCACCAGGGTCTCGGCCACCCCGGGATCTCTCCGGCACATCCTCCGCTGCTTCTTCTCCAACTTCAGGCGGTCGCACACTTTATAATGGGCTTTGACGGCGGCTTCCTCCATCTCTGAAGTCAAAGGAAGGATGGTCAAGGGCTCATTCCCGGTCAACCTGAGGAGGGAGAGCTGTGTCAGTCACCTGAGGCGCTCAGGTGAGCCGAGAGGGGCACACCCACCTGAAGTAACACCCTTCTGCAGTACTGGAAGTGCGAGCAATGGGAGAGAGACAACGGCAGGCACACACAATCCAGATCAGAACACAGGTCTTTAGAATGCTCCTGTATTAAATGGGGTTCGCCTCTTCCCATATATGCCCATATGGAACCTGAGGTGATTAATGCAGACCTAAAGGAGATCAACCCCGACTACTCTTTGGAAGGCCAGATCCTGAAGATGAAGCTCAGATACTTTGGCCCCCTAATGAGAAGGAAGGACTCCCTGGCGAAGAGCCTGATGCTGGGAACGATTGACGGCAAAAGAAGGAGGGGACGGCAGAGGATGAGGGGGCTGGATGGGGTCCCTGGGGCAGTGGCTGTGGGGTTGGGTGGACTCTGGGGGATGGTGGAGGACAGGAGTGCCTGGAGGAATGTTGTCCATGGGGTCGCAATGGGTCAGGCACGACCGCGACTAAACAAAAAACCAAAATCAAGTCCTGAGCAGATACAGGGCCTTTTCAGCCTTTTAAATGATTTTTAACGTCTCAGCCTCTGCATTTCATGGGGATTTCAGATGGGCGCACTTCCATCCAGGTGGGTCATGGCATGACTCTCTGTAGCAAATGACAGGTGTCAAAATAGGTTGAACCACCGACAGCTTCCCTCCGCTTGTTTCGCTGAGACCTTGCGCTGCTGCGGGGTTAGTTTTACTGAACTGCGATTGGTTTACTCAAGTGTGATTTGGGCTAGTTTGGGCTTTAATCGGCTCATCGCAGTCTGGCTACTGGGCAACCAATGAAGCAGGTCCGTGAGAACCAGCATCTCCTTTAAACATGCTGTATGCCAACAAGCCCAAGCCCCTGCCGCCTCATCACACACCTGCGGTGGCAGCCCAGGTACAGAGAGCTAAAGGCACCCTCTCACCCAGGGGCAAACCCAGCGGCTTGTGGGGCACAGACTTGTGAATATTTATCAGCTGCTTCCATCTACAGATTTCAAAGCAGGGCACATGCATCAAGATCAAGCATAAAAAACCAAGGCCTTGAATATAGCGTATCTATTGGGAAGGTGGGCTGTTACACCTGGCAAGGTCTGCAGATGCAGGTGCATCTTCAGAGTGCACCTGAAGGTAAACGGTTTCTGCACGTGTTTAACCTCAGAGGTGCGGTTGGCCTAACTCTTCTCCAAGCCAGGGGTGAGCAGAAGATAGATCTCCACATTTTGGACCAACTCCAGAAGCCTTTGCCAACGTGGCCAGTGGTCCAGAATCTTGGAAGTCAGAAGTCCCAAACATCTGGAGATCTGCCCCCAACTCTGAACAGCTGCTGCGAAGTCCTCCAGACTTGTGGTGCCACCAGAGGGTTCTCTCAGATGACCTCACGGACTGGAGAGGTCTACATGGGAGAGGCGGTCGCCAAGGTAAGCAGGTCCCAAGTTGTTTAGGGCTCAGATACTAGCAACAAAACCTTAAACCTGGTCCAGCAGCGAAGGGTTAGGAGACCAGTTCCTTCAGCAGAGGTGTGACAGGGTCCCAGGTGAAGACCTTTTTATTTAAACGTCATTTTAATTGTTAACAATATTTACTTACTTATCTGGCCAGGGCGACTTCTTTTCTTTTCTTTTATAACTTTTCTTTTATAACTTCTTTTATATCATTTATATTTTTATTTATTTTATATTATTAATTTTAATTTTATATTGTTATTTTTGTATTGCATTGTATTTTATTGTGTTGTAAGCCGCCCCGAGGCTTCGGCAAGGGGCGGCATAGAAATGTTCTAATCATCATCATCATCATCATCATCATCATCATCATCCCAGCACCCCCTGCATGAAGCAACATTCCACAGCTGCAGCTTCCAAGTCAGCCTTACACGCAGCTCCATGCAAAATGCACGGCAAGAATCCAGTTGGGGGTCACCCAGGTCTGGAGGGCCCAAGCCCTCCTGCGGCCGAGCCCCCCGGACACCGTATGCGCTGCTGTCACTGACAGCAGGGGCACAGGCCGTCCGAAGAGCCCCTTCTGGCTACCAGGCATCCCTACAGCTGCCCTTTCTGGAAGAGTCACTTGCCAGCCCCACGACCTGCCAGATGCGAGCCGCTCATGAGCGAGCACGCGGCCTTTGAAACGAGCTTGCGAGCCCAGGCAGCTGGTCCCCTGCCCATTCACACAGCACTGGGCCCTGCGTTTCTCCGTCCCGCTCTCTCCCCCTCCCTCATGCACACACAAACACATGCAAGGAAGGGGAGCCAAGACGCGCGTGCTGGACAGGGACCAGCCTGGCCCAAAGCGCAGGGGAGTCGACCCAAGTTGCAGGAACATCTGTTAGAACTGGGATAGGTTTCGCAGGCTGAGCGGCCTGTCACCGAATCCCGTGGCGGAGACTTCCTTCCAACCAGGTGCCAGGGTGGGTGGGCGAGGGAGTGCCGTGGGGGAGACAGGGAGTGGAGCACGGCAGCAGGGACCACCCTCCAAACAGCCTGAGCACATTTCTCAGTCGCTGAAGGGAGCAACAATAAAAAGCACCATTTCTGGGGCCAAGACGACTGGCTGGAACTGCTCGGGAGCCAGAAGGGAGTCTGCTGAGCAGGAATTGGCCGTAGCTCGGCAGCTTGGCGTACAGAAGGTCCGCGGACAAACCCAGCCTGCCCAGGGATGGCCGTAGAGGGAACACGTGGTCTGCAACCATGGAGGGCTCCTGCCAGGCAGCGCCAACTCTGCTGGCCTGCACGGGCCGCGTGTTGCCTCAGGCAAAGGCTGCTTCCTACGATCCTCGGAGGCTTGCAGGATTCATGCCTTCCATAAAGGACTTCTGGTCTTCCTTCAGCCAACTTTCCTGTTGCAGAACGTATGAGAAACCTGTTCCGGTTCAGCTTTGACCCAGATTAAACCACTGCAGCCCTTCTGGATCAAGCCCCGACTCAGAAGCGAAATGTGGCCAAAGTCTCCACAACTCTGAAGCTGCGTTAGGCCTGGCAGGTGGGAAGACGCACTTGGCAGTGTCTGTGCCTTTGGAAAATATGCTTTGCTCAACACACACGGCAGCGTAAGAACAGCCGCAAGGGATCAGACCTATGGCTCACCGGGTGCAGGATTCCGCCCACACAGTGGCAAACCAGCTGCCCGCAGGGCCCCTCAGGCAGGACACGAGTGCCACAGCACTTTCCTGCCCATCATCCCCAGAAACTGGGGGACATGGGCATCCCACCTGTCTCATCAAGACCAGAGGGCAGGGATGGTCTCCTCCTCCATGAATGTGTACAGTCCCCTTGTAAAGCCACCCAAATTGGTGGTCGTCACCACTTCCGGAGTTTAACTCCGTGTTGAGGAGGAGGGCTTCCGGTTGTCTGTCCTGAACCTCAGTCAGCTTGCTGAGGTGGCCCCAGGCTCCAGGATGACGGGGGAGAGAGAGAAACTTCTTTTCCACATCACGGCTGCCCTTTCTCAAGGCTAGGTAACCCTCGTTTTTTGTAAGCATTCCTAACAGGGGATCCCCCAATCCTTTTAGCTGTCCTTCTCTGTACTTTTCCCATGTCAGTCATGTCTTTTTTTTAGGTGTGGGAACCAGAACTGCTTGCAAGAATTCCAAGTACAGTTACACCAAAGAGTTGTGTAAAGGGGAGTGTGATCTTGGGAGCTTCTCAGCCTGGAGCAGAGGAGACTCCGAGGGGATCTGTCAGAGACATATAGGTACGTGGAGGGTGTCACATGGAGGTGGATAGAGACCTGTTCTCCCCTGCAGGGGAAGGCAGGATGGAGACGGAGAGAAGGACCCAAGCTCAGGGAAGCAAGGTTCAGTTTGGATGCCAGGAAGCACTTCCTGACAGTCAGGGCACCCAGGGTGTGGAATGGGCTTCCCCGGGAGGTGGCTGAGGCCCCATCGGGGAGGGTGTTCAAGGATAGGCTGGACATTTATTATTTTTTTATTTTATTTGGAAAATTTCTATGCCGCCCCATTCACCGAAGCCTTGGGGCGGCTCACAAATAAATCAATTAAAATACTATACATTAACAATATAAAACAAGTTAACAATATAAAATAATGCCTACCATGTGCATGCCTACCGCTCAAGCACACGGTGGGCATGTCATGAGCGGAGCCGGCTGGAGCCGGGGGTCAGACTAGATGGCCCGAGAGACCCCTTCTGACTCACTCCGTTTCTAGGTTTCCCAATTTTCAAGCCGCTTCCTGACTATGAAGCTTGCCTTGTTGCATACAACTGGTGTGTGTGTGTGTGTGTGTGTGTGTGTGTGTGGAAAAACACACCATATGCGTGCAAAGGGTGGGACGGAAGGAAACGAAGCTCTCAGTCTGAAACAAATGCAAGTTAGAAAACGATGAGACTTGGAGCACTCTGAATGCTGCAGATGGCCTCTACTGTGTGAGCTGCCCGGGTCTCAGATTGGAGCCGACTGCCAGGAGCTCTGTGCCAACCATGCCTTGGCCTGGGACGGGAGAAGGAACGCCTCGGCGGCAACGCGACAGCGACAGCCCCGAAGCACCAGAATAGCAGCCACAGGAGACCTTTCCCCCAAAGGCAAGAGCCCTTTCCACCCAGGGCGGCTGCGTGCCACGTCGTCACGGGGAACGGCTTTGGGCATGTAACAGATAAGCCCCTGAGATTTGCGACGGCGTATCGATACTTCACGGACACGATCGCTTCTCTTTTTAGGACGGGCACGGCAAGCTCCATCCATGGCACGGCTTAAAACATTAATTGGGAGCAGCCTCTTCATGGCACCTACCTAATCCTTTAAAACCCTTTTATGCAACTGAAAGCTGGGGCGGAAAGTGGGACGGGGGGGATCATCCGAGGTCAGTGTGTCAGAGGCCCACGAAGCCCTCCAACAGTGGAGCTATTTTTGCCGGCCTCGGCACAAGCTCGCCAGACACTCCGGCTGACACGCCGAGCGAAAGCGCGTCTCCTGACCTCGCTTTCGTGCCCACGTTGCTCCTGCCTTCACAGCAGAGCGACTGCTCCGCACGGCCAGAGGGCCCGGTTC